AAAAAAAATGCCTGAAATTACAAAAAGGAAACTTGAAAATGTCACAGTGCAAAAACAATCCTAAAATCTGGTCTTCAAAACAAGCAGAATCTAATTTTCTTTTTTCTTTTTCTTTTGGTTTGTTGTGACGTGTGACACTTATGTGATCCTTAATCATGTTTAATGGATTTAATATATCAGCACTCAGTCACTCATAGAATTATTTCTGTATGTTCATTCTTACATGCCGCAGACGTCAACTACAGACAGACTCTCAATAAAGTGATTGTAGAGGGGACGACCGGTTTCTCTTTGTGTTTGTTTGTTTATTGTCTTTTGTTTTCAGATGGAAATTTAAAATGTGAGAAGCAGATAAGAATTCATATCAAATCTGTGCTGTTTTAGTTTTACAAACTGGTTTGAAATCACAGAATTCCTCAAAATAAAGACACACTTCGAAACGGTCAGTAACTTAAAAATGAATCTTCATTGATCCATTTATGGGCTCTGTTCAGTCATATCTATATATACTGTGTGTCTATATATATATAAAATGTTATCATGATTCATTATTTGGTCATTAATAATTGAAAATGATGCTAGGTTGTTTGCTTTGCAGTTACTAAATAGTTTTTCTGGTGTTAAAGACACGTTTCATCATCAAACCAGTTCATGGTAAGAGTTTGCCAAATGTGGTGATTGTGCCATGTTGCACAAATTTGCACTTGTATTATGTTGTCATGTGAGAGATGTGACATCTTGTGTCAGCCAGCAGGAGGCAGTAGAGATATTTGACACATTTAACTAGCAGCCAAATGTCTAAATTAAATGAGGAACATTCAACTAAACAGGTGTTTGTGATGCTGCACCAAATATCCCCAAATAATAACATGCTTATTTATTTTGATGTTGCTTTAGCTCATATTTTGAACATAATGCTTGCATGTTTTGGGGCTGAATTTGATTCAGACACCTTGAATGAGAGTCAAGTGTCCGTAATGGTGAGTGTTTTGACTTGTATTTAAAAAAATTGTCTAGAACTTGTCAAACATGCATGTGGATTTTTGGGGTTATTTGTCCATATTCATGTTTTCAAGTGAACAGATTTGTAGAAATGCAGCATTGCATCAGTGTCTCAGCAAT